CGGCGATGAGTGTGCAAAATATTACGCAATTCCATCCTCCCTATTCGCACGCGCCCGAGGATCGGAGGCGAATGCCACTTCGACTTGTTTCGTCTACTTACTATTCTCTGACGACTGTGCTGGGGAAGCAGCTTATCCATGTAGGTAATTGGTGGATTTGTTAGTTAATTAGACGATTTTGGACAATGCTGGACATTTACCAGTTTTTCAATAGTTTCTTGTTGAAAATCAACATTCGAAAGCATTATTATCGATGCGTAGCCATATTTCTGATCGATTGGTGATACAATTATTGAAATTGGACCAGGGGCAGCTGAGTTATTAACGTTCAAAATCTTTCTTAATTTGTTACATGTTCCATTTTCGGTTTTCACAAAGTGTACCTCCATATAGAAATCAAAGACGTAGTCCTACGTCAAAATGCAAAAAAAAAGAACAAAAAAAATTGATATAGTTTTACTCTATTTAAGAGTTACACGCAAGAAAGAAAAAAAACCAAGAAAAGGAAAGAAAATATATATAATAAAAAAAAAACTGGATCACCCTAACTATGCTCTACTTAAAAATAGTACGAGAAAAAAAAATCAAGAAAAAAAAAAATCTAGATATATACTATTTACAAAATTTTGGATCACCCTAATTATGACCCAACCTAATCTAATATTGGACCATGCGGGGAGATGCGATACTGGTGAAAACAAAGCGATACGTTATACCTATTGCACTGAGGCGGCAGATGACTGGTGCGATGCTATTGTTCGCCCCAACGGCTGTTGGGTCGATAACCTTGTAGCTGGTATGCCTCGATCGCCTCGGTAGGCAATTTAACGTGCTTTCGTTGTTGATTTCAATGGGATGATGTGATGATGCGATGATGATGAGATAAAGCTGGACCGTAATCAAAGCGCTCGGCGTATGACTAATGGCTTCCTCACTCGCGCACTAGTTGTCTTAACACTATGCCAACTAACTTTGGCAAGAAAAAACCCTCGCGTGGGGAAAAACTCAAAAACTCAAATACTAGTGTCGTACAACGAGACCGATGCGACTTGACTGGCTCAGCGTGTGAGACGGAATGTTCGAAAACAGTTGGTTGTAGAAAAAAATTTACTAAGAAAGAGTTGTAGGAAACTAATAAGGCTTTATAAAAAATATACACGGATTTTTTTTTGTTTTTTTTTACGAAAAAATTAAAAATAAACCTCAAAACTCAAATAACAACAAAACAAATTTTTGATATTTTTAATATTTTTTTTATAAAAACTTGAATAGAAAGCAAAAGTTTTGAAAACAACTCCAGGATGGACAAACTTTCAATAAAAAAGTTTTTCTAAGAGCAAATTTTGAGGCATTTATGAAAATTTCATTATTTACGACAAAATGTTCAGTTTGATGTTAATATATGATTATAAAAATCATTTCAAACGATAGTGCTCATATCAAAAAACTTCCTAAATATAACCGTGTTCGAGATATTTCAAATTTACTTTCATCAATATCATTTTTTTTGTAGAAAATAAGCCATTTTCGTAAGTTAATCGTTATTCTCCATCAGCATTGATAAGTTTAGTAAGATGCACATATATTTACCTTCAATTTGTCTTTTGACAATTGAACGATCAGACAACCCGTTTAGAATTTACAGGGGAAATGAAAACACTATTATTTTAAATATAGAAACCAACACAAGTTAAGTTGCACTTATTTTCATTATCAAGCGTAGTTTCATCCTTTTTAAGTTGTTAATATTGATGTACCTATCCATTAGAGTGATGCAAAATTTGAAATTTTCGCTCCACAATACTTAAACGATTCCAAATCGGATCCTGACTAACCTCTCAAAATTTGAACCCATTTGGTGAGAAACTGAGATGGCACAAACCATTTGAAGTTTGTATGGGAATTACTATGGTAAAACCAAGATTTGTGTTCATGTCTATCTAATAATTCACCATATCGGTCTGCTTCAAAAGCTTTTAATTTTATAGAAAATTTTCCCAGCTACAACTTTGCTGAAGACCACTTTTTGAATAAATGCAAGGATCGAAAGTTATTAATGGTTCAATGCACTGATGTCTTATGATCATGCTCAATCAACTGCTCAGCAGGCAACATTGGTGTATCTGGGGCGTTGAATAGGACACAAAAGTTATGGCTACTATGTCACACTGCAAAATACAGTGTTGCCTACAGAGCAGCTGCTTGATCATGTCATAAGTTTACCAATCTCTTAAATAATTAATAACTTTTTCCTGTCTCGTTTTACATAGAAAAGATCTTCAGCAAAGTTGTAGCTGAGAAAATTTTCTATAAGAATTGCTATCAAACTGTTTTGCAGCTCAATATGGAAAAAGACTAGAAGGCAATGAACAAAAAGTTGAGATTTCCCATAGTAATTTACATGTAAACTTCAAATGGTTTGTGCGAAGTCTGTTTCTAACCAAATGAGTTGTAACTTTTGGAGGCTAATCACGACCCGATTTGAAACCATTTAAGCACTGTGGAGCAAAAAAGTCAAATTTTGCATCAGTCTACTATCCATCTTATTATTTTAGGTACATTATAATGTCTTCCATGGTATTTTTCATGAAAAAAAGAGCTTCTCTGTTAGAGTAGCTTCAATACCAAAACAATATTTATACCTGAATATCCAAATGGTACCTACGTTTGTATATAAGCATGACCATCCTTTTGAAAACAGACATCACTAAAAAAATCTTTTTGAGTGAACAAGTATAATTTGAATATGGAATTCAAGAAGGTCGAGTGTTGCAAGCCGTTTCCTAATAAACGGTGTTCGTCAAAGCTTCGTAAATTATCCGAAAATTTGATTGAAAAACGTAAGTTCCTAGAGTGGAAATTTAATTTGGATACATCTCTATCAATCTGTGATACGTGTCGCTTGAATTTAAATAGAATCGAACCATGTGCTGAAAATCTGGAACTAGAAGTGCAACCGTCAGTCATGGACATCGCGGAGCCGCAGCCATCTACATCTCGACATGGCCTCGAAGAAATACCATCAACTACGTCAATAACAACAGCATCATCTCAGGATAGTGGAGAGCAACAATTTTCCAGGACGCATAATATTGAGCTATTCAACAAGGGCATAGCTGGTATCAACGTATCGCCAATATCGACAAAAAAAATTCCAGAATGTTAACTATTCCCGGAGAAAGTATATGGACATTACCAATGGCATTAAGAAACGCATCTTCGGTTTTCCTGGAGCAACTAAAATTGAAAGCTGCGGAACACAATGCGATGATCGGACAACTGAAGGAGAGATTTGCTGATCCAAGTTCATTGAGAGACGATCAAATAAGGATTCTGACGATTGTGCCGAAATCTTGGTCAACGCAAACGGTAATGGACGAGTTTGAAACAAATAAATACATTGTATTGCAAGCTCGATGCTTGGCATACGGGATAGGAGTATTGGCCACTCCCAACGAAAGGTTAGGACACGGTTTGGATCCCGAAATTAAAAACGAGGTATTGCAGTTCTTCGAAAGCGACCAGATAAGCAGAGCCATGCCAGGACTAAACGATTACGTTTCAGTGATGAAGGAAGGTAAGAAGATTCATATTCAAAAGCGACTTTTAGTTTGTACATTGCGAGAAGCTTTTATTAAATTTCAAGAAGTTAGTAAAAATAACATTGTATTTAGTCCATTTGCAGCACTAAAACCAAAGCATTGCAAATTACTTGGTAGTTCAGGTTCTCACAAAATTTGTGTTTGTACACGCAAACCAAAAATCTATTACAATAAATGTTAGTTCCGTTTCCTATCATCCTCTGTTCATGAACATCGCAACGAATGTTAGGAATTGACCATGCAAGCGATGTAATGGTTTTTTGTCTTTTTTTTATTTCGTGTTAGCGTGGATATTTCGACTATACCAGTAAGATTGTAGAACGACGCACGTTGTAGAACATTGTAGAACAACGCACACACTTGCCTCGAATGCCTCTATTACAATGAATGTTAGTTCCGTAATGGTTTTTTGTCTTTTTATTTCGTGTTCTATCTACGCTTTCGACTATACCAGTAAGCTTGTAGAACGACGCACATTGTAGAACATTGTAGAACGACGCACACACTTATCTCGAATCTCTCCAGCAGAAAAAGCATACGAAGTCGAGCATGCGAGAAAATGAGCGCTTCATGTTTGCTTTTAGGCTATCCATATTCAGAAGCAGAGAGAGAGAGAGCAGTGGAGAAAGCACAGGTCTGATAGTCGCAACGTCCGTGGTTCAGTCGGCAACCTTTTTCTATTTTTTTCGACATAATTAATTTCACTCACTAATACACTCCACACTTTTCGGTCTCCAATTTTCTTGCATCGGACCGCAGCTAGGTATATCGCATCCTCGGTTCATGCGGTCTCCACTTACATCCTCTGATGATGAATCCCACATAATTGTAAGCGAATCTTACATCCACCGGTTGGGTATACCATCCATGAAAATATTAATTTAATGCTTCATTGTCTTAGAAAATATTCATTCGAAAAAGATTTCAACCATTATTTTGAAGAAATATTATGCTCATCATCCAGAACTAAACATTGTTGTCTCCGCGAATGTGAACGTTGTCCAGGTTTCTCAGATTTTGAAAGAAGTTTTTCAGAAAAATTCGAGGAACAGAGTATGTCTGAAATATGTTTTGAAAATGGGTTTCAACTGATCGATGTATGTATGTACAAATTATTATTATTAAAGACGATCGAAAGTTATAAATGTAAGATGCAAATAAAAACGCATGGGTATTTCATTTATTTATCTTATTAATCTTATAAGTTTAAACCCAATTTTCCAATATTCTATTGGTGGAAGGGTAAGTTGAAGGTAAGTACATGCATATCTTGCAAAACTTATCATATTTGATGGACAATCACGTATAACTTACGAAAAGGGCTGTTCGCGCCCGTCGCGGGAAATCTTTTCGGACACACATGAATAGTACGTTTTTACATAACGAAAATACACTTTATTACGCGAACACAAAATTACATTTATTACGGTAATGGACGGCACAAAAGAAGTTTCTTCCGTTGTCGCACATTATGATCTCCGGCTTGCCTCGCCGGGAAGAGAAACGCTTCAGGGTCGCAATAAATCCCTGAGCGGACAGGTCTGACGCTAGTTCCAGGTGAACGGCCTTGGTTACTAGACAGACGTAGACGGCAACGATGATTTTCACCGGGCGATTGCGCCGGTACGGATACGACACTTGGAACGGGCCACAGTAATCCACACCTACGCGCTGGAATGGTGGGCACGGGGTGACTCTTTCGGGGGGAAGATCCGCTATGAGCTGGTCCTGAATCTTGGGCTTCACTCTGAAACATGGTACACACTCGTGGATGACCTTTCGCACTAGGTTCCGGGCGTTTGTTGGCCAGAACCACTCTCTAACGGACGAAACCATGAGCTGTTGTCCACCATGCAACATCTTTCGATGGTAGTGAACGACGACCATGTAGGTAAATAGATGACGGTGATCCAGGATACACGTGAGCTTGCGACGGGTCACAATCGATGCGTGGCGAAGTCGGCCGCCAACGCAGAGTATTCCGTCTTTGAGCTCCGGGTGTAGTGACGAAATCTTCGACGACTCTCGAACTTCTCTACCGTTTGTCAAATCAGCTAACTCCAGCGAGAAGCTTTCTTGTTGGGAGAGCCTGACCAACGCATGCAAAGCATCTTCCAGTTCGAGCGTTGTGAGAGGACCACACCGTCGATTGTCACGGTTCGCCGGTTGTGAATTGTAGCGGAATCTGCGAAGCCAAGCAGTCAATCGTACGAGATGTGTATACGATGATCTGAGGCTGAAGATATCGCTTGGAGTTACCACTGGAAGTGCTGTCGCCATGCTCTTGGCTTCGAGATCCATGGGATCGAAGTCTTCTTCATGTATCTGATGAACAGATGGCCAATTGTGCTCGTCCAACTTTAGCCAATGCGGACCGTTGAACCAAAGCGATTCATATTGTAGCTGCGCTGGGATCATTCCACGGGAAATTATGTCGGCTGGATTCTCTAGTCCAGCTACGTGGTTCCAAGCGCCTTGTTTCGTGATGTGCTGAATCTCTGAAACCCTATTTGCTACGAACTGCTTCCATCTTGACGGCGACGAAGAAATCCAACACTTGACTATCGTGGAGTCCGTCCAGAAAAAGCCTTTCGCTTCGATGCCGAGACTGCTTGTGACCTTCTCGTAAAGATGTGCCAACAACAAGGCTGACGACAGTTCTAGGCGTGGAGTGGAGAGCCGCTTGTTTCCTTTCTTCAAGTTGTCAAGCGGTGCAACGCGAGACTTCGCTGTTAACAACTTCACACACACCTCCCCCGTTTCGGAGATTGTTCGTACATAGAAACAGGCGCCGTATGCCTTATTTGATGCGTCGCAGAAACCGTGAAGCTCCGTGGTGACGATGTGACTTCCGGTTCCTACCCATCGGGGAACGGTAAGGTTTTCTAGCGCTGCTAAATTCCGCCGATATTCCTTCCACTGCGCTTGAAATTCTTGATTAAGTGGTTCATGCCAGCCGCAGTTTTGCTTCCACAGTTCCTGGATGAAAATATTTGCCTGAATGATAACTGGGCCAACCAGACCAAGCGGATCAAACAACTGCGAATCATCGGAGACGACCAAGCGTTTCGTAATCGTTGCCGACCAGTTGAACGATGGGAACGTGAAACGGAAAACGTCTGAACTAGGTTCCCACACTAAACCGTCTTGATGGAAGTTTCAGACGAATCGAGATCCAGGATTGAGCGTTCATCCCTCAAGTTTTCTGGGACGAATTCAAGAAGCTCCTTGTTGTTTGAGTTCCATTTTCGAAGCGTGAAACCCGCTGATTCAAACAGCTCGATGACTTCTTGAACCAACTGTTTACCTTCTTCTACGGTGTCTACCCCTGAGAGCATGTCGTGAACGTAGAAGTCCTTCTTGGCCACCTTGGACGCTACAGGATGCGTTAACGCTCCGTCATCTGCTAAACGCTGCAGGCATTTGGTAGCAAGATATGGTGCGGATTAAGTACCGCACGTGAAAGTGGTCAATTCGTACGTTCGGTATGGATCGGAACTTGATGCTCAGCAACGGATGATCAACCATGCGATACATCTTGGCGACATCAGCGTTGACTGCGATACGGTACATGCGGAAACGTAGCGAGATACTAGGCAGATCATCCTGTACTACTGGACCAACCATGAGGGCGTCATTCAGCGAAACTCCGGTAGACGTTTGACAGGAAGCGTTGAAAACTACGCGCAGCTTCGTAGTCGTGCTGTCTGGCTTAAGAACACCTTGATGTGGTAGGTAGTACCTTTTTACTCCTACTTCTTCGACCTCCTCGGTGACGTCTTTCATGTGTCCAAGTGTCAGATATTCGCGAATAAATTCGTCGTACATCGTCTTCAGCTCTGGATTTGCAACGAAACGGCGTTCCATGCCCATCAACCGTTTTATCGCTGTGGTCTCCGAATGACCTAACCGATTAATTACGGCTTCCTTCTTCGGCATCGTCACAATAAATCTGCCGGTCTCGTCTCTGATCGTTGTCCGGGCGAAATGACTCCTCTAAAGAATGCGTACTAAGGTTTCAGCATGTCTCTAGGTCCCAGAACTTTGCGAGTTAATCCTGGAGCTCGGTGGTAGAACACACGAGAGTCAGAGATTGACATGACATCCACTGAGTGAATGCTCGGGAATCTTTCCGGAAACTATCCAGCCGAAATTTGTATTCTGCAGTGTGGGTCCGTCTTCAGTCGCCTTTTGCTGTTCGCTCCTCAGAAGGTTCATGTAGTATTCCGCCCCGATAATGACGTCAACAGGACCAGGTTCATAGAAGCGTGGATCAGCTAAAGATGATGATTTCGGAAGCGTCCAGCCGCTGATATCACAGGTTGCAGTCGGTAGCGACACAGTCAACCGCGGGAGGACGTGGAACTGCATATCTTGCACGAACGATGAAATGCGATCTAACCTCGGCCTTACTACAGCACTGACGAGTTTTGTTGAAGTGCTCGTAGATGAGCCGATCTCTTGGACAGACAGATATGACGGCGATTCGTGAAACTGAAGTTTGCTTGAGAACTCTTTCGTCATCAGGCAATGCTGCGAACACGAGTCCAGCAGCGCTCGTGCCAGCATGGAATTGTCGTGACGGTCATTAACTTTGACTAGAGCGGTTGATAACATGATGTTCTGTGTAGGTGTGATTGGGAGTGCGATGTGTGTTTGACTTGTGGAGGGTGTGACTGTATTTGTGGCTGGTGTGTGGTGTGGTGGAGTGGCTGTTGATTGAGTGCTTTGTCCTTGCAATGTGGTGGTTGTATTGGTACTAGCGTTGTGTGTATCTTGGTTCGAGTTTGTTGGCTCGGATTGTGGCTGCCGTCTGGTTTGTGTCGGAGAATTTGACTGCGACTGTGGAACGGAGGATCTAGCTGATGCACCATGCATCAGGGAGTGGTGCTTCTGTTGACAGTGACGACAGACACCCTTCTCGCAGTTTCGTGCGATATGACCAGGACTCAAACAATTCAGGCACAACCTTGCTTTGAACGCAGCTTCACTGCGCTCGGGAACTTGAAGACGTTGGAATTTGCTGCAGACGAATGCAGAATGCCACGATCCACTGCAGAATGGGCTTGCTTGAAGATCTCACGGTAGTGTGACACACGGATGACTTCGACGATCGTTGATCAGACTGGCTCGGCTTCGTTGGGGCGCCGGATTGCAGCACTGCACAATGACTTCGAAGGAAACTGATCAGGTTTTCGTACGTCGGTACACCTTTTGAATTGTGGTGTGTTTCCCACTGCCGTAGAGTGGCAGGATCCAGCCGGGAATACACCATGTATGCGAGAATCGTACTCCATGCAGCAGTTTCTTCGCCGATCTTCTTTAGCATTTGCAGGTTCTTCTCGAAAGCGCTGATGAGATTGCTCAGTCCGTCGTAGCTTTCTCGCTTCAAGCCTTCCACGGCAAAAAGGGAATCCAGATGTGCCTTCACAATCAGCTTCTTGTTCTCGTAGCGGGACTCAAGCGCCTTCCACGCTACGCTGTAATTCACTGCCGAAAGCTCCACTGACTCGATCTCTTGCAGGGCCTCTCCTGACAGGGCTGACTTCAGATAGCTGAACCTGTCCATATCAGTTAGGTGCTTGTTTTCGTGGATCAGGCTGCGGAAGCTATCCCGGAACGTAACCCACTCCTTAATCCTCCCACCGAACGAAGGAAGGCGAATTTCTGGAAGTTTCACCTTCGAGAATGATGCTTCGGATCGGTCACCAAGTTGACCATTTCCGACAGACATCGATGTAGATGATGGTGGGGTCTGCTTCGACAACAAACTGGCCTTCACGGAGTAATATCGCTCCTCGAAACTACTCAAAGCTAGCAGATTTTCCTTCTCCTGCGTTTCCTCGTCCGCATCAGCATCATCAACATCGTCCATCAACAATACAATTCGTTCCCGAACCTCGTAGAACTCCTTGCTAACTGACGCTAGCGTTTCCAGTCGTACGCTGACTTGGCACTCGTCTCTAGCAGGAATATATTTCGTCGCAAAATTCTCCAGTCCAGCCAATGTATTCAGAACGCGCCGCTCACGCTTACTAAGGGCCCTCAAATCATCCATTGGTAGTAATTTACAGCACTACACTGCACTTTGACTAACTACGAAAGGCGTAATTAATCAGTATATTGTACACTGCACAGCACATTCACCCAGTGCTGAGATTTGTCATTGTCATTGACAGACTTTCGCGCGATATTGACAAAATTGTTCGTCACATAGTCACTGACAGACTTGATCCTCAAAAAAACCTTAGTCAAAATCTCATTAATTTTTTTGTCAATGACAAAGATTCACCTGGTAACAAAAAGTGTAATTTAGTACATTCTGTGTCACATTATTGTTATCCAAGTAGCTCAGGACGTAGATACTTGTTCACTGAAATGGATCCATGTAATTGTTTTGCTCAAGTCATTTAATTTCGTTACAAATTTAGCTAATAAACAAATCTGCACATGTTCGTCACTTACACCATTGTCATTGACAATTGACATGGTTTGCCTTGACTATGACTGATAGCTCAAATGAGTGACCAAAGCAGAATTGTCAATATCACCGTGTACTGTCGAGATTTTGCAGCACTGCATTCACCAAGGCAGCACAATTAATCATCAATAAAAAAAGCGAAATGAGCAATAAAAAATCTCAAATTGGCCACTAAATACTACAGGGGTGCACCAATAAACAAAAAACAAGTTGAAATAAAAATGAAGAAAAAGGCAATGAACAAATAAAAACCTTCTTTTAATAATTTGAATGTGAGCGGTAAAAATGGCAAAAAGGGCAATAGTAAATACAATACGCTCAATTAAATAAGGATGAATCTCCACTAAATTATGAAATTTGAGCACTAAATAACTCACTTTCGTCACCTGCAGTTGAACATATTTTCCCATAAAAGTGGCAAAATGAGCAATGTTATATTGAATAACCGCAATAAATAAATCTAAAATGTCCCACACAAAGCGCACAGTTATCACTGTTTTAATCCAATTATGCTGTAAAATCGTAATTATTTCCCCAAGAAAAAAAAAAAATGAAAATATCTTTTAAAAACTGAAAAAGTTCCAGGAATTAGCAGATAAATGTATGCTTGAACATGAGTATGAGCCATCGTAAAATATGAATCGTTCTTAAAGAAAAGAAAATAATTCATGCAGGAAAGTAAAAATGAGCAATTAAAAACGAACACTGCGCAATATAAAATAAAACAAAATTCCAATGATATTCAGGAAATATTCCTTTAAATTGAAAGTTTATGAGCCAATAACCCCGATCAATTTCCATATGGTATTTTCAAGACAGCGATAAGTAGTGATACTGTGTCTTGGCAAACAAAGTCGATGTCGATAAAGAAGATTAACGAATGTGGGTCTCATTGAAAAAGGTACCATTAAACAAAATCAAAAGAGCACTAAAAACAGCTATTTGAGCAATATATACGTCACAAAAGAGCACTAGAAAATGCCATTTGAGTAATATAAAGGTAAAAAAAGACACAAAAAGCACAATGAATGTCCCAGGGAAAATTTCAAAACGCTCAACAAAAATAAGAAACGAGCAAGAAACGTATAAAATTAGCACTCTGAAAAATAAATTGAGCATTTTATAGGCCATGAAGGTCACTAAGAACGAAAACAATATCTTTTGAAAACCTGCAAATCTTCATCGAACCATAGAGAAACAGACATAACACTCGCATATTGTACATCGAACACGCATTTACCGGTCAATTTAAATATGTGTTAGTTGATAACACCTCCGCCGGTGGCCCCCATAGTTAATTTAATCTTGCCTTCATTTGATTGTTGTTAAAAAAAATGAGGCGATAGTTCGATCACAGACAAGCAGACATAACACATTGAATAGTTTCCACTGTAAACCATCTTCTCTAAAACATTACCGCCATCTGTTGAGAACACTGTCACGGGTAGCACGCTCAACAGATAGCAGTAGTGTGTAAACATCAAACGCAAGGAAATTAACTATGGGCGCCACCGGCGGAGGTGTTATCAACTAACACATATTTAAATTGATCGTTAAATGCGTGTTCGATGTACAAGATGCGAGTGTTATGTCTGTTTGTCTTGTAACCGATGGTTCCATAATGTGGGCTTGTGACTCTATCACAAGTGCACTCATAATCGACTGTATAACAGTGTTGTAGAATGTCCTAAATCCAACTCTGCTGTTGGTCGCTCACTTTCCCATACCTTTCCATTCGCCTGCGGTACCACTCACTCTCATCAAACTGGTTGACAGCAGGCGCTCTGCCGAAAAGGTTGTCCATATATGGGGTAAGGGGAGAGACAACGACGGGTGAAATAAATATGTAAATACAGCAACATTTCGGGTCTGCTCGTATTTCGTGGTTTTTTGCGGATTATTGCTTGGCATGCTAGCAGGAGTCAGGTTAATTCTGTTTCAACCGCACTCGGGAACAGATTCAGTGCGCGACGTGCTAATTTTCCCAAAGGTTCGCTGAAAGGGCGAGGTAAAAATGTGTAGTGTGGTTTTTTTTTAAATAGTGTGTTTTGTTTAATTACAGGTCTAGGGCTAGTAAAAAGAAAAGTTAGTAGTGTCAGTCGTGTTTAAAAATTTCGTTAGTAAAAGTGGTTAGTAGTGCTAGCTGTAAAATTAGAACTGAAAATAATGTGTTATATTGTTCTTTAATGTTAGGGTAGTTCGACCAATTGTCACCCCAAACTGACGGTTGACTGTTACCGTGCAGATAATTCTAAAAGAAAAGGTAAATTTATGTACATTTATTGTAAATTTGTGAAAAAAATTATGTATTGTATGAGTAATTATGTGGTTGGTTTGGTTTTGAAAGGGGCAGGCTAATTAAATGTGTATGGCGAGGTGCTAATAAGCGTGGTTAGGTCCACAAAGGGCCTTTTTCTTTTCTTTGGCAGCATTTGTCCTGGAGCGAGCGCCATTGTGT